CATGCACAGTGCATGCCTTGTGCTGCCGTACAAGCGGTACAATGCTGCCACGCAGAGGCGATCTTGTCAACCTTGACGTACCCAAAGAGGCTTGGAGGTGTTATCGCGACTTGGCTGCACAAATTGGCAGGGTGGGTTGGCCAGAGTGTGTCGTTGCCCGGTTTGCTTGCACAGTTAGGCCGGTTGCTTCAGTAAGGGTGGCAGCGTGAGCAGGCCCTGGGGGAGAACAGTAGGCCTTGCCTAAGGATTACTGTAACTTGTATGAGTTCAAACTCTGAAGAATCAATCTGGGATCTTGTTTGGCGTCACGTCATGTCTTACGGCGCAATAGTGTGCCAAACCGCGCTGCACGTGCCCGGAAGCAAATGTTTGAATGCGAACCCTCGCTGAAACTGGGTTGTTAAACTTCCCAGTCTCTACACCAGAGCACTGTCCGACTACGGAGTCCGGCATAAAGATGCTCTGCAGTGGAACAACCCAGTCGAGCAGACCCGCACGTGACACCTGCAAGCAATGGATTTGGCAACCAAATCAAAATGGTTCCCAATGCTTCGGTTGCAAGAGGGGGTGGTTGCATGCCTGGTGTGCACGTCTAAATTCGGCTTCAGGATTTACAGGGGCCCTCAATCCAGCAAATAATCCCACACCTGCAACAACTGGATATGTCCAAACAAATGAGGAGGATTGCAGGTGCCTGCTCATTTGCAAATTCACGGGGTTCGGGGTTTTCCTTCCATTCTTTTCCCAAACCGCTCGCTTTCTTTTCAGCATAGCCTATGGGCAGCTCAATTTCCGGCTTTACCACAGGGCGTTGGGGTTGCTGCCCCATTCTCTTACATGGTTGTCCTCGGGCACCAGGCATTTTGCAGGGTTCTTCGCATGAAGAGCATAGCTAGAAACGGATGGCGCTATCAGTTCCATTTGGGGCTTCCAAGCTTTGCCAAACCTGGCCGTCAGGCCACTCAAACCTAAGGCTTCCAAGCCCATGGTACTGATTCACGTTGATCCTGGATTTGAGCAAAGCGGAAAAAGGCGGCATTTCCATACCTGGCGATTTTGGCAGCACCTGTGCAGCTTGTAGCGTCCCTTCCATGTGCATAGAGCTTTCTCGGAGCTGTTTGGAGGGGTGCTGGCACATTGTTATGGCCTTGGTGGTTGCGGTGTCATGCAAGCACCCTGCTTAAACACCTTGAAAGCAAACCAACTGATATACCTTCAACTACTATAACAGGGGGCAACTTCCAGCTCCAAACTGCCGGCGGTGCTGCGGGATATCTCTCGAGAAGGTTGGTCTGCGTTCGAATTTCTATCCCGGTTCCACGGGGGGGAAAGGGCTTGCAATCTGCTTTCCGCGCTAAGAAGCAGAGAAAGAGAGAGAGAGAGAGAGATAGAGAGTGATGGGTCACGGATTTCGGGTGGTTTGCCATGCCCAGTCTCCCCTTCGCGCGTGTGTTTCAAAATGCACGGCCAAGGTATTCAGCGGCATTTGCTTCTTCAAGGACCTGGTGGGTAAGCTGGCAGAACCTCACCAAGGCCTACAGGCCTGGAAGATAAAATGCCGGGGTGATGAAGTCTAATGTTGACCCAGGATTAATAAACCCGTCCCACTATTAGGGGGGTGTTCCCTCCAAAAGTGATGAATCCCCACTAAAAGGGGACACCCCCCTATTACTCAACCAGGGGTTTATTAATCCGGGGTTAACATTACTCGGCCAACGTTTGGTGGCGCCGCAGTGTGGCTTTCGGGATCTGAGCTGATGGCAAAAGAGATGGGCTACCTTCTTTGCTGAAATCATGACGGCAGAGCGCGAGTGAGCTCTTGTCTTTACTAAAGTTATGATGCTCGAGAAAAGGCGCACCCTACTTTTGTTGGCTTACTGACCCTATGGAGGTAGACTTGATGTGAACCCCTTTGTGTACTGAAATTATGATGGCAAGGATGTCAACCCCATGTTCAGGTTGGACCATTGACCAAGTTACCGCAGGCTGACACAAATGCTTTCCGGCAGAAAGCAGAGCATGTTTGTCTCACTGTGTAGTTGGCCCCCACCAGCGTCCCGTTGGCATGAAGTGTGGCAGGCACTGGCTTTGTTGGGGAAGCATTGAGGAGGCTTGCTTTTTATGCTGGGCTGTTGATTGAATAAGTGGGCCAAGTAAGGAACGATGCGCGCCCCGTGACCTATCACAGTTTGTGGCCTGTCGGGAGGACCTTGTCGAACAAACCAGGACAGCCAAATGGTCACTTTCCTGTTGTGGAAGCGGGTAGCTTGGTCTGGGGAAACTCACGCCGTTGAATCGTACCCCGTTGAATCCTACAACCCCGCACGTTCCGAGGTTCGCTTTTCGCTGAATCAAGCCGCCAAATGCCGTGGCGTTGTCATGGATTTCGCTGGTTTTTTTTGGCCCTTCGGCGTGACAACCTTACAAGATGTCAGACGATGGCAGTTTCCAATCACCAACAGGTGAACAACTTGCAGGTTTTGTTGTGGTTCTGCAGCTCGGCCAGTTATGTTCCCTTTGGCCTGGGATCAACTGCGGGTCGACGTCAGAAACTAGGTTTGCGCTCTTCAACATGCCATGACCTGCCGAAGCAGTCGTACCAATCGATCCGCAATCCAGGCGCTTCAGCGTTCCTTTCTCAAGTGGATTTTTAAGCCTTCCCTGTTGATCTGCTAGGCATGCGATCAGTTGTTTGCTTCTGCGGCAGGGGTTTGAGGGGGTTTGTTCCTCGGGAACCTCCCCTGCAATGGATAGATTGTCGTTTGGAATGCCTTTTCTTGGGTGGTTGCACTTCTGCAATCCTGTTGCTCAGGGTTTCGGGAACGAACGTAGAGACCTCCTTGACGGGCACGGGCCATTCCGACGCATCCCGGAGTCGAATCAGCCAACTCCTGGAACATGGAGAGTACGTTTGCCATTTGGGGTCAACGTTGCGTTCTTGTGTTTTGCCTGTGAGGTGTTTTGGGGTCACGGGACCCGTGACGAAGTCTTGCACGCGGACTTGCAAGACGAGGGCGTGGACTTGCTGATGAGCGCCGGCCTGCAAGTCACCGCCAGGCCGGCCTGGGAGGGTCTCCAGCGCTGTGAACGCGAAACAAATCCGCCAGGAAAATCGGGCAATGTCCAAATGGAATTGGTAAACGGGGCCCCCTGCCCGCCAGGTTCCTGGAGTGATATCTTTGAGCTTCCTTTTGGGTGGATGTAAATGTTCCGTTTACTTTAGTATGGAACTTGAGTTTCCATTTGATGTAGCATTGCCGAAGTGTCCTTTCTAAATTCGGATCTGAGTTTCAATTTGATTGAGTATTGCTGGAGCTTCCTTTGAGATTCGGATTTGGGTTTTCATGTGAATTAGTATTGCTGGAGCCTCTTGTTTGAGATTAGGATGTCCATTCGACGTTGTGTTTTTGGATTTGAGTTGCCATTTCACTTAGTATTGCTGGATTCGGTATTGCTGGAGCTTCTTTTTGAGATGTTGACCCGGGGGGGGAGGGGCAGGCGACAAGACTGTCTTGTAGAGGCCCTCCTGAAATAAAGTCAAATTGGTGGCCTGGAGTTCTTGCCCCCTTTGTCGGTTTGATTGCGGGCAGCTTTTAAACAGCAGACGTGGCAGAAAATGTGTGAGTTTGGGGAAGCTGAGCATTTTGGATCTTGGGGAGCAGGCCCAAATCTAGCAACATCGCCTGGGCTGTTTGAAGATAACATTTGCTAAGCAATATTTACACTGGGCAACCAGGCAACGAGACAGGGCGCCCGAAATAAAGTCTTGGACGAAAATCGGAGGGCCTCGAGTACTTCCAGCCCCCTTTGTGGGTTTGATTGTGGAAATGCAAGGTGCCATGACTTTACGGGATGCTGAACTGTTTCTTTCCTTTTTTTTTTTTTTGGGGGGGGGGGAGGGGAGCAGGGTCACATCTTGTTTTGATGCTTAAGAAGAAACATTGCTGCCAGGGGAGGGCCCGGGGGGGGGGGGCGGCGTTTCTATGCCAGGTGCATATTCTAGTTTTCTCGGGCCTGTCCCTATTGCAGGTGCAGCCTTTAATCACTAATTCTACTTGGACATCACACACCCCGCAACTATATTTCTGTAATTTTTAGAAGGAGTCATGGTTGCGAGAAAGGCGCGTCTAGTGTGTGTGCGTGTGGGACGGCAGCATCCCCCACAGGACAAACCTGCAGGGCTGGGACCCTGCTCAGCGCAAGCACGCGTGCGCGTCATGGCAAGGCCGGCCCCGCAATCAATACAGGCACGCGCTTCCCAACTTGGAGCCCCACGAGCTAGTCAGGCCCGCCACCCGCACCCGTGCAGACGAGCCTACCCGGGCCGGCGTAAGGGCAAGACGGCGTGACATCCTAGCCAGCGAGGCAACCCAAAAAGGCTCTTCACCGATCCCTCGCTGCAGTACTAGGCCCGGAAACGTGCAGCTTGCAGAGGGGGCAACCTTGAGCATCTCAAGGTTGTGTCCCGCACGCGCACGCACCGGCGGCGGGAGGCCTCCTCCACCAACCGCACAGGCAGCGGTCTTTCGTGTGAGCCGCCCCGGACCAAAGGGGGACAATGAGCGTCTAGTTTCTGTGAGGGCCGCTCTTAGGCTTGTTTGGCCATGTGGGATCGGGCAGGTGTTTGGTGTCTATGTGTCACACCAACCGCTTGAGGTGTCCTTTGGCTGCCGTGCCCGCTCTCACAACCATGATTGGGCGACATATGTTCAATCCAGGGGGCCTTTTCAATAGACGCCAAAAGGAGGTTGCGAAGACAATAGCTACTATCACAGGCTTAGGTGGGACGTTCCTTCGCGCCTGAGGAACCAGTGGGGGTCCGGGGTGTCTGGGAAGACTTGCAGGCCCGGCTATTCTAGAATGCCGGAAAGCAATTTCAGGGTCAAACGCGTGTCCCAGTTTAGTACACAGACCTAACTTACCACGAAAGGAATAGCTGAGGACCCACAGCTCCCATGCGTCAAAATTAGGACAGGTGCCGGAAGCATGCCGACTTTTCCCAGTTTCGCCAGGAAGTACCCGGTGGAGCACGCTCCCTCAGAGGATGAGTTGCGGGATGCGGCCGCCTTCTTCTCTTCAGTGCTCACATGAGAACACGCGTTGCCTTCGAAGTTGGTTTGGGCCAGTCCGGGGTTCCAGCCATCCATGTGGTGGGAACGGGGTTGGAGTGCTTGAACATCACATTAAGGAAGCCCAAGGATCCCACGTGAGCGAGGAAAGCAGTTGGGATACATGAAGCCTGATTTCTGGTTGATCAACAAATCCCAACTGCCTGGCATCTTTTCTCCATATGGCTGATCTAGACCTGTTGGAGATCGTTGGAGCATATTTTCCATTGAAGCTATAAAAGGTTCAACCTTTACCCCAAAAGCTTGGAGCAACCCAGGCAGCAAATGATACACCTGAGCACAATGCATCGAAGCTTTGCACGTCTTGGTTCTGAGTGATGCAACTTGCTCCAAATGACAGTTGTGATACATCTTCTTCTGGAGTGATGTAGCATCTTTTCCACAGTGCCCTGCATGCTGATGCGGCTTTCGGCGGAGTGCTGCAACTTAGTCGCCTCATAGCTAAACGGCTGGATTGCAGGATGGCCAGATAGCTAGATGGCTAGATAGCTAGACAGGCAGACACCAAGCAACCACTGCAATTCGGATCTCGTCTGCGGGCAGGAAAAGATGTCGATCTGCTCTCACGGTTCCCCGATCTGATCCATTTGATCAAGGGCCCCAAAACAATGGCCTTCTATTTCCACGTGTTTTGAGCAACTGAGATTGCGAAGGATGACCTTCTTTCATTCTGCCCGTGCCATCATTGGCAGACCGCAGCATAAACCAATCCCAACAAATGAGAATTGGACGGCCCACAGCACACCTAGACTACAGAAAAAAGGGACCCTTATTCTAACCTCTCTACTGGAGTACCTAGCCACAGTAGCTGATCAGATTCCCAGTTCCGGGGCGCCCTTCTCTTCCGTGCGTTTGGTGGTTCACCTCCCACCCCCTGTCGTTGCCATGGGAATACCGTCCAAACGCGCGGCCCCGCAAGGCTTAGCTGGGGTTGCGTTGTGCCGCTTTTATTTTTTCAACCCACGCGCCTTGCACGTGCACTCAGAGCAATTCGTTTTTGGAATCCGGCAGTAACTTGAGTCCAAGCGGTTCGGATTCCATTGCTAGACTCATGGGTTTATTTTCTGGTTGCCATCCTTCAGATTGTTTAAATAGGCCCATATTTTCCTAAAGCCGGATTCTTGTCAGATTGCGCCGCTGCCTCACTTGGAGAAGCCGGGGCCCGGCGCCCTGGAAGAATTTGATTGCCGGGACCCGGCGCTTGCCGGGGCCCGGCACCCTGGAAGAACTTGATTGCCGGGACCCGGCGCCTGCTTGCCGGGACCCGGCGCGCTGGAAGAACGGGACCCGGCGCCTAGTTTGCGGGGAGCCGGCGGCCTCAAAAATCTATGGTTGCCGGGATCCGTTGCCGGGACCCGGCGCGCTGGAAGAACGGGACCCGGCGCCTAGCTTGCGGGGAGCCGGCGGCCTCAAAAAACTATGGTTGCCGGGATCCGGCGCCCAAGAAGAACTTGATTGCCGGGACCCGGTGCCTGCAGGCTTGCCGGGAGCCGGCGCCCTGAAGAACTTGGTTGCCGGGACCCGGCGCCTAAGCCCAGCTTGCCGAAACCCGGCGAGCTGGAAGATTGAGGGGATCCGGCGCTCTGGGCGCAGGGACCTGGCCCACTCGTTTCCAGCTGTTGAAACGTGTGAACGAGTCTAGCCCAATTTGCGGCTTTCATGCAGGCCACAGAACAACACGTAGCATTTTTTCCCGGCTGAAAGCCTGAGTGTCTTTGGCCGGTTAAGAATCCTGGGCTCATGTCGTTTTTCCTATACAAAGAAGACGGGGTCAGTCAGAATCTTGGGTTCGCTTTTGGGGCAGGTTCCTAGATTGTCCCGGGGAGGTCCGGGGCTGTTTGGCAAACTTTATGGATGGGGCTTCCTTTAAATCCTAGCTATCCCACCCCAAGAACAGAAAAAACATGCGTGTTTTGCTCCTCGTGTTTTGTTCCATGGCCACCGGAGACGTTTTTTGTTTTCGTGGCAGCCCCACCAAACTGAATGCCGCCGCCTTCCGAGTGGAGCTTTTTTTACGGCTCGACTCCGACGGTCCTCCGGCAGCGCCACAGCGCCAGCCGCAAGCTCAGGCTGAGAGCGCGGAGTCCGACCATTTTAGTGGCAGACCTGTGGGGGTGTTGTAAAAGTAGCAAAAAAATTGTTGAGCCCGATTAATAAACCCCTGGTTGTTAATATGGGAGTGTCCCTGGTTCTGGTGGGGATGTATCACTTTTGGGGGGGAGCACCCCCCATATTAATAAACAGGGGTTTATTAATCCGGGGTCAACATTAGGGGTCCGGAGAAGTGATGGCTATTCTTTGATTTCGATCTCGATATTATATGAACTTACTTGAAAATCGGTAGCCTCGAAAAAGCACTCACTTACTTGCAGGGCCTTGATTACATGGACAAGCAAAAAAGTAAAGGGAACACAGCCTTGATCTTACATCTGGAAAAGCAGGCCTTCGATTGAAGCCCCGTCTGAAGCCAAGAGGAGAATCGAGAAGGACCTTGTTTTTCAGGGTTGGACGATTTGGGGTTGCCCATGGTGCTTGCAATCTGTGCAAATCGACAGGAAGGTTAAGAATGGCTAGTCTCATACCAACAGGCTACTTAATTTTCATGGCGTACGTTTGTGACCCACTTTTGCTCACCAAGAGGTTTCTCGGGCCGCGCCATTTTCAACCGGTCGGGTTCTTGACAATAACGATGGTTTAAAGCAACGGCAAAATCATCAACACTGTAGCATCCGTTGAGACATTAGCACCTCAAGCCTGCCCCACAGAAAGTTCTTAGACCCCATGCCACTTGCGGGGCCAGGAGAAACCCTTGCGATTCCTGCTTATTTCTTTGTCGATCGTTCCGGTTGCTTCTCTCGGCATGCCGAGGCCAAGCGGAGATGCAGCCCTTGGTCTATTTGGCGGTGAGGGGCTGGCTAGGTTGGATCCAGTTTGTAGAGCGCTCCAGGCCGGCGAATCGAATCGCGAAAGAGTCGAATCGAGTTGGCCCCCGAGATCTGGGGAGGAGCATCCGACCCACTTGTGTTTCATTTGCTTGAGAATATGTTTGTTTTTAATCTCCCCTTTGTTTCAAAGGGAATCTATCACTATTGGAAAAATGTACATATATGTATATATATATATATGTCTATTTTTTTCCGGGGACTTAAGCAAGAGGAGGTCGTTCGGCCTACCTCAAAAGAAACGGATTCTTTAATCAATGTTGAGGGACGGGGTTGGTCCCTCGATTTTTGGGTGCTAAAGAGGCCAGCGAGTTTTCCCAAAAAGAAGCCAACAGGGGGTGGATAAGAAGTGTGAATTTCTAGCTGTATTCTTTGCACTTCTTTGTCATGTAGTGCTTTTTCACCAGTAGCTCTCATAACTTGTTAGGGAGCTACGACCCGAACGTTCTTGTTTCCAAAAAGACCTCGAGATCGGGCGATGGGGACAGTCACCCACGCACTGCCTTTGCTTTGGAGGCTGTCCCCTTCAACAACTACCAAGAAGGGTGACCATTTTTCCCACCGTGTTTGGGAAGGTGTTGAAACCTCGAGTAGTGCTGGCGTCGCCTAACGTGTCCAAGAACAGTTTGGCTATGGAGCGCATGCGGCATGGGCACGGTAGCAGCAAGAATCTGCATTGGGGTCACCGTTTTGGCCACCCACGGACTTCGAATTCCTAACGGATTTCACATTCAAGCGAGGACCTTCCACTTTTTCAGGGCATAGTGTCAGTACCTAACAAACACAAAGGATATATCCACTATGCTCAAAGCATCGTGGAATCTGGTGGGGAGACTTGGTGGGCGTCCAGCGCAAGTAGTGTGGGTCCATGATGGTCCCTGCAGACGCCGCTTCTTTGGATGTTCTTTTGGCAGGCAGGCGCGTTCCCTGCATGCTCCGGCTGCCCTGCATGCCCCGCCCCACCACAAGTAAACTCACTTAAGGCTGGCAACCAAAAGGTGGGGGGGGGTGTTCGTGCATGCGTGGTGTGGGGCTTGCAGGTTCTCAGTCGCCTAGAACTGTGGGAGGGGTTTCGCTTGTCGGAAGCAACTTGCTTGGTTCAGTCATGGTTTTTGGACGTCCGGCCAAGTAGCTTTGGTCATTAGCTACTTGTAAGCCAAGTGGGATGGCTATTAGTGGGTGTGTGCGATTGTTTTGTTGAGGGTATCATGTTGGGGCCGTTTTGGCTAGAAAGCAATAGGACAGCCACGATTTTGGGTGTCCAAGTCCCTCTTTTGACACATGCCCAAACTCTTCTGACAGACTGGAATGGACGAAACCCTGCACCTAAGAAACCCTGTCCAGGGTGATTCCCCAAAACATACCCAACAAGCAATGGTTTCAACCATGCTTTCAAACTGGTGCGAAATCGATTCCGTACAGCTACAGCACTGTGGCTGACATACTGCAGGTGTAGATACGTACCACCCCCGGGAACAAAGCTACGAGGCGGGCCTTTTTGAACAGCTCCCTGGTCTTGGTGGCCGCCGGTGCCGTGCACTGCTGGGCGGTGGTCTACTCTTTGTTCGTGGCGGTGCACACTCGCGCCATGCGCGCCTCGGCGATCAAGACGTATACCTTTGCTTGAGTGGATTTAACGGAAGCCAACAGTTTCCATGTTCCGGGGATGGGGATAGGGAGATATAAACTGAGCTGTTCTCAGATCCCCCGCTAAAAGTTTAACTTTTAGTGGGCCAAATGGAAGCTCCACTAAGCTAAGAAGCTAAGGGGACGATGTGGTTTGGATGTTTGGGGTTGTGTCAACATGAGGCGCCACGCGTTCCTCGGGATTTCGCTTCATGCCTGGGTGGTGTATAGCACAACCAGATCATGTCTTGTTTACTGTGCCCAAACGGATCCACGGAAGAATGGGCGCCCATCCATCAGATAGCACCTGACGAATGGACCCCATTTGTTTGGGCTCCCTCTTTGCCTCCTTTTGGAAACTTTGCGGATTGGCCCAAACATGAACATTGCTAAGTTGGCCTTCGTGAGTATATGGTCCAGAGACTTAGGGTGAGATGTTCAAAAATTGAGCAGTTGCGACTGAAAACCAGGGAGTGGATAAGCTGCGGGCCAGAAAAGAACAACATGAGGTGATGCCTTATTCTTCAGGGTACCCACCTGTCGTCATGGAACCCACCACAGGATGAGGGGAAGCTAGGTGGGGATTGGGCATTCAGGCAACGAGCTCTCCCCCCTTGACCCAACAGTCTGTTTCATTTTTGCTTGCTCCTGAACAGGCCGCCGACAAGTTGTCCGTCAAAACTGGCACGTGTGAGCACCCATCGCCATAGGTTATGGCGGCTACCACGCCGGCAGCAACGAGCAACTCCCGTCGTCGGTGGCGCTTACTGAGACGCTGGCCGTGACTTTGCTGCGGTTAAGGGTGGCGTGTGTGTGTGTGTGTGTGTGGGTGTGTGTGTGTGTGTGGGTGCGTGCGTGCGTGCGTGCGTGCGTGCCTGCGTGCCTGCGTGCCTGCGTGCCTGCGTGCCTGCGTGCCTGCGTGCCTGCGTGCCTTCGTGCCTGTGTGTGTGTGTGTTTGCGTTTGTGTTTGTGTTTGTGTTTGTGTTTGTGTCTGTGTTTGTGTCTGTGTTTGTGTTTGTGTTTGTGTGGGCTTGTCTTTTTTTGTATGTTTGTGTGTGTGCGTGTGTTTGTGTGCGTTTGTGTTTGCGTCTGTGTTTGTGTTTGTGTGGGCTTGTGTCGTTTGTTGTATGTGTTTGTGTGCGTGTGTGTTTGTTTGTGTTTGTGTTGTGTCTGTGTTTGTGTTTGTGTTTGTGTGTGCGTGTGTCTTTTTTTGTATGTGTGTGTGCCTGTGTGTTTGTGTTTGTTGTTCTTTGTGTTTGTGTTTGTGTATGTGTGTGTGTGTGTGTGTTTGTGTTTGATGCGGGCGTGTGTGCCTGCGTGCAGGTGTGTGCGTGTGTGAGTTGTGCATGTGTTTGTGTTGGTGGGCGTGGTTTCGGAATGTTGTGATTGTGGTTGAGGTTGTAGTTGTGGTTGTTTGCTTGCTTGCTTGCTTGCTTGCTTGCTTGCTTGCTTGCTTGCTTGCTTGCTTGCTTGCTTGCTTGCTTGCTTGCTTGCTTGCTTGCTTGCTTGCTTGCTTGCTTGCTTGCTTGCTTGCTTGCTTGCTTGCTTGCTTGCTTGCTTGCTTGCAGGTTGGGTTTTGTTTGTTTCTTTATGTCGCTCTTTGTTTGCTTCTTTGCTTCTTTGATTCTTTTTTTTCTTCTTTTTTTCGTGTTTGCGGCCATGGCAACCAGTCAGCGGTTTGTTCAAGTTCAGGTATAGCCCTTGAGATGCGGAGGCCATATTCCACTCATGTACAGGGATATGCTGTCTTGCAAGCTCGGGTTTGTAGCATAGCCTCTATGCATTCACCTGCTAAAGCCGCCCTTGATAAATGGGCGCTTTTTTCATGCGAGACATCGTTCCTCTCGGTGTCTGTTTCAGCATACCTTTTGGGCTCCTTTTTTGGTGTAATTCAGATTTGGGCCAAGCATTCTGCAGGTCAGTGGGTTGTAGTTCCATTCCGGTTTTAGGGAGGGCTACCCTCACTTGAGATCATTTCTGTGTGCACGTTTTTTGTTTTGTTTTTTTTTTGGGCACCTTTTCCGCTTGCTTTCAGGGGGACACACAAGGACACGCCATGTTTTTTTTGGGCCCCCCTCCAACTCTCCGCCAGCATAGGCGAACCGAAAGGGAACCTTCGACATTTGAGATTCGACCCATTTGGTCAGCTTCCGTCTAATCGGCTTGGATTTGGTTCCTGGGGTGCGTCCCCATGCTCCCTTTACAAGAAGGCCAAGAAGGGCTTCAAGTCCACATGTTCAAGCTTACCTTTCTCGTAGAAACACATGTTCCCATGTTCCCGACTCCAAGGAATGGTCTGCTTTCTAGTGCTCAGCAGGCAGTGAGGGAATGAACCTCATTCCATTTCTCGTTCCCTGCATCTCTTGCAGCGATCGCAAGTCTGAGCCTTTTTTTCTGACTCAGCAGCGAGGCATGGAATGATCCGTCTAAACCAACATGGTGGTTTCCCTTATTCGGATTTTTTCAGGTTCATTCCCAAAACCCCCCCTACCGATTTCGCAGTCCGATCGCCGCGGAGTCAGAACCCGCCGGGGCGTCGGGCTCCCGCGCTCGCGATCCGCGATGGCGATCCGCGAGGTCAGCTCCCTGTGGGTTTGGCTCATCGCCGGCTTCACCACCGCGGCGGTGCGGATGTTGGACGAAGATGCGGACGGCCTACCCCTAGGACACCCGTCCGATGCTTCTCCGTCCGATGCATCCAATAAAAGGGGGGGAAGGACGCCACAACCAGAGGTGGGATCTCTCGCAGCCATCCGGTTCCTTGGCTTTTTCGCTTGGGCTTGGCTTGTGTAGCTTTTAGTGGGGTTTAGTTGTTTGTAGCTTTTCGTGGGGTTTAGTGGTACTAAAAGTTAACAACTTTTGGCACTGGATCTGACAGCCCAGAATTTTCGGTGGGATCTGTGGCAAGCATGAAACCAATCCATCTTTGGACATGTTCCCTTTGCGCCTCTTTGGCACCAGCCGGATCAAGACATCACCAAGCAAGACAGATATGGGATGGCCCACTTTGGGCTTGAACGGGTTTTGTGTTTGCCACCATGTTCCAGTCTGTTTCCTCCGTGGTTTGTTTGAACAAATGGCCACTCTGATCATATGAATGGCCACTCCCGCCCCGCTCCGCGCATCGGGAAATAGATGTTTCTGGGACTGCTTGGGTCTGGGCCTTCGGAATGGCCAGTCATTACTAGCCTGAAATTGGCGGCTTTGGATTCAGAAAGGATCTTTGTTCACAAGGTGCATTTATCAGGTGTCATTAGTAGGGGGAGGAATTGCAGTGCTTTGAGTCGAGTTACCCTCATTTGGTTGTTCGGATTGGTGGCTTGGGATTTGAAGCCCTACTTGTTGTTGAGGGTACATGGGGAACCTAAAAACCACCGCTCGAAAAAGAAGAAGGGACAATGTTGTTCTCTTTTTGGCCACCAGTTCAGAGCTTCTGTTGTTTTATCCGCACAACTGGCCCCACTGGCCTTCACACCAAAAAAGGAGCATGGAACGAGGACATGCCCCACTGGAGGTTCCGAAAGGTTTGGGGATATCTCTGCCAGGTCTAAAAGTGGCTGCCCCAAACGGATCGGCTGATCAAAGTCCAGATTCCCTAATGGAAAGCTGCAAAGGGAACCCGATATTTTCGTGAGGCCACGTGATTGCCTTTGAACAGACCCAAAAGGGCACTGGATCCAAGATGGTTGGAAGTGCCATATAGGAAGAAAGAAAGTGTTCTCCACCTCTGCTTGGAGGTCAGCAGAAAGAAGAAAGACATTGCTCTCCTCTTTCACTTCAAAATCCAATGTGGGGTCTGGGGTTTAGGATCATGGGTTCAAGGACCCATGGAACTGCCCTAGTGGGGACAGGAATCTCGCTTCATGGGCGGGACAGCGCTGGGAGCCAACATCCACTTTGGTTGGAAATGGGGATCCAATTCGAAACCGGGCCCAACCCGACGCAGGAACAGATGACCTCAAGTGGGGACCGCTCCCTGGCGTGGGAACTTCTGTGCTATTTTATCGTAGGTGACCCTTAGTTGGTGGTTTGGACTGGTTTAAATTCAGATTTGAATCTGGATTTTGTAGGGGAAAATAGAAAGTCACCCCCCAACCTCCAATCCAAGCCACCAACTAGAGGGCATGTGAAGTCGTGTCGTAGGCTGACAGGGTCTCGACCGTCTATGGCGAGCGTGACTTGTGCGCAGTTTCAGCGGTACCCAGAAAACCTCCCCCTATTTAGCACCTCGCCGGTTTGTTCTTTTGCATCTGGAGGTCGAAATGTTCAGCCGCCATGTTCGGAATACGCAGTTCTTCAACTTGAGCAGTAATTGCGTTGAAAGTAGACCAGCCACACACGCCGTGGATTTCTTTATCCGATGCCCGATTTCCGGTACAAGAGGGCCAGGATTTGCCATATTTCTTTCTACCAGGAGAAGAGCAAAAATTTCCAGCTTGGGGGTGGGGGGGTAGATGGCACAATTCGCTTAAGTCAAGGGGGGATGGCTCAGCCGACATGGCTCGGAGTTGGGCCATTTGCCCCAACTGCGGGTGAGACAGCACATGTTTTTGTCCCAACTGCAGGTGTGGGCTAAGGGAAACTCACCAAAATGAACAGCTTGGAAGGCTGCGGGGGGCTTCACTCGCACCTGTGGGAAGGTACCTGCACAAGCCTCCTCTGAAAGGAGGTCCTGTCGGATTCCACAGGGAGACGAAGCCAGGATTCTGCAGATCCGACGTTTTCCATAGAGTTCCCAATTTTCAAATATGATGTTCCTTTGATTTGTTCGCCAAAAGCAACTTTGGGCAACAAAAACACTGGCCTGGACTTTGTGAATCTAAGATACTGGCGCCCCATTGGTTCTCATCTTTCATGAGGGGGCTGCAAATCTGACATTCTCCATAGAGTTCCATAGTTTTCAAGTATATGTTCTTTTGATTTGTTCGCCCGGACAAAGCAACTCGTGCAAAAAACACTGGCCAGGATTTTGCGAATCTAAAATCACTGGCGCCCCATTTTTCCCCAAAGCTTTGGGGTCTCAGCCCAGATAGGCTCCGGGGTGGTTCGGGGCGACCCTGAGCTAAGGTTCCACCAGGGTTCCACCAGGGGTTCCACCAGGGTTCCACCAGGGTTCCACCAGGGTTCCACCAGGGTTCCACCAGGGTTCCACCAGGTTCTGCAAGGGCGGGGTGGTCTGGGGGGTGGTTTGAGGTAAGGTTCCACGAGGGTTCCACCAGGGTTCCACCAATTTCTTTGAGGGCTGCGGGTTCAGGAGGGTTCCGCCAGGGTTCCACCAGGCTGCGGGGTGGTCTGGGTGGTTTGAGGTAAGGTTCCACGAGGGTTCCACCAGGGCTGCAGGGTGGTCCGGGGTGGTTTGAGGTAAGGTTCCACGAGGGTTCCACCAGGGTTCCAGCAATTTCTTCGAGGGCTGGGGTGGTCTGGTTTGAGGAAGGCTCCACGAGGGTTCCACCAGATTTCCACCAGAATTCTGCCAGGGTTTCACCAGGTTCTGCGAGGGCTGCAGGGTGGTCCGAGGTGGTTTGAGGTAAGGTTCCACGAGGGTTCCACCAGGTTTCCACCAGGGTTCCACCAGCCGTCGTGCTCCGGACGAGGGTCCCACCAGGGTTCCACCAATTTCTTCGAGGGTGCGGCGTGGTCCGGGGAAGGTTCCACGAGGGTTCCACAAGGGTTTCACCAGGGTTCCACCAGCGGTCCGGGCTGGTTTGAGGTAATGTTCCATGAGAATTCCACCAGAATTCCACCAGGTTTTGCAAGGTAAGGTTCCATTCCAGTTCTAGCAGGGTCCCACGAGGTTCTGCGAGGGCTGCGGGGTGGTCCGGGGTGGTCCGGGGTGGTTTGAGGTAAGGTTGTATGAGGGTTTCAGGGTTCCACAAGATGCTGCGAGGGCTGTGGGCCCTGAGGTTTGCACCGTCGGGCCCCGATCGGGTTCGATTGCACCGTCGGGCCCCGATTGCACCGTCGGGCCCCGATCGGGCCCCGATTGCGCCGTCGGGCCACGATCGGGCCCTGATCGGGGATCGCGCCGTCGGGCCCCGATCGGGGCCCGACTCAGTCGGGCCCCGTCAATTGTACCAAGCTGGCATCGCCTAGTTTTATAAATACAGTTGCACTCCGCATGCTAAGGAAAACCGGCGTTGAGCTATAAAGTGGGTTGAACCACGGGACGATCGGGGCCCGATTGCACCGTCGGGCCCCGATCGGGCCCCGATTGCACCGTCGGGCCCCGATCGGGCCCCGATTGCACCGTCGGGCCCCGATCGGGCCCCGATTGCGCCGTCGGGCCCCGATCGGGCCGCGATTGCGCCGTCGGGCCCCGATCAGGGAGGATGGTCCCGGGGCGTTCCGCGAGGATTCTGGGAGGGTGTGGTGCTGTTGGGGATATCGCCCGAGCTTATTTTTTTAAGTATGAGGGGCTGCACTTTACATCGTCCAACAACAAGGACAGTTCCATGGGCTTCCACTGGTCGGTCTTTCTGTGCGTGTAGTCTTGTAGTAAGCTACATGGACGGATTCCTGAAAGAGAAGTTTGAGGATTCGGTAGTCTTATCCAGTGGCATGGACGGATTTCTTATCAGCTAGGTCCGCCAGTAGTACCCTTTGATTTTTTTGTGGGAGGGTTCCCTACTAAAATGGACAAAACCGAGAAACACAAGAAAAAAGGTTGGTACTTTTGTTCTAACCTCTCTACTGGAGGACCTGGTCAAGTCTGTTCAACCATCGTTCTTTTCAAAAACCAGCTGTTTCCCCAAGGTCTGCCGGTTTTCTGAAAGAAGGATCCCTGGAAAGAATGGTTGGAAGTGTCCCCTAGAATTACTGATCAAGTCTGCCCAGGATTTTACCATTTGTTTGGGGGATGGTAAAACAGAAAACAAGGGTACTCTTATTCTACCTCTCAAATCTGGAGGACCTAGTCAAGTCTGCCCAGGATTCTAGGAAAAAAAGAAGGCTGCGCCGAACCTAGGAAAACAAAAATACACCCTTCCGTCAGCCAGCTGCGTGGAATGATTTCTCTGATCAAGTCTGAGGATTTTGAGGATGTGCGTAGTCTTATTCATGTCTTATCCAGCTGCATGGAGGGATTTCTCTGATGAAGTCTGAGGATTTTGAGATTTATCCGGTCACCCTTCCTGCACAGCGCCTTGGGCCACGCCCACTCCGTGAGCTGCGCCGGGCTCTTCGTGAGCATCATCTTCTTGTGCGCCACCATGGCCGCCATGAAGGGCGGCAACATGGAAAGAACAGGGCTCCTTAAAAGATCGATACATCTTGCAATCAAGAAGGGTGGCGTTTTTGTTGTTCTTTTTTTTGTTCCTTTTTTTTCCGTACACTCCCTCAGCTTAACATGGAAGCTGCCAGAAGGCCTCTGCAAATTGAACAAGTCTTCGCCGGGGTCCTGGGAGCTTCCATGTTAGTCTGAGGTAGTGTAGTTTTTCAGGGCTCCTTAAAAGATCTCCATGTTGCAACAAAATTTGAAGCATCTTGCTTTTTCAACACCAAAATAAAGAAATGGAAGCCACCATTGTCAAGTTGCAATGTTCAGGTGTATAATGTAAGGATTTTGGAAGCAGACGCTTTCCTGGGGACTCCTCCATGAGTGGGCCTCAGAATAGGGGAGCCTCCAAAATGAGGGGTTTCCTCTTTGTGTTCCTTTAAACCAACCCCCAAAGCTAAAGATCAGATGCTTCAATGAGTGGGCCTCTAAATACTTCCCCAGAATTAGTTCCCCAGGGCTTCAAAGGATTCAAGCGTTTCCTCCCATCTGGTTAGGGACGACATGGGTTCTCGCACATAGCAACGCCGAGTTGATAGAAACCGTTATGGACCACAAATGCCAACTAGTTGTCATCATTTGCTTCCATTTGGTTAAGCATATGTTTGTTTTCCGTTGTTGGTTTTAAAGGGAATCGGAATCTATCACTGGAATTATGTTCAATATTTTTCCAGGGGACGAAAACACAAAGGATGTTTCCTGGGGACTGCTCCATGGGCCTCAAAACTTGCATTTGCTGATTTTTCCCCTGTTAGTTTTACAGGGAATCAATCACTACTGGAAATATGTCTTCTTTTTCAGAGGGCTTAAGCAAATGGACGAAAATAAGGGAAGTGAGCCCAAATGGGGATGCGTCAAACAAAGGCACACAACCATATTTTAAGTTTTGGGGTGGCATAAATATGGCGGGGAGTCAGAACACCTTATTTTCTGGGTACCCCAAAAGGTGAAAGATGCCTTTGTGGACCCGTGTGGATAACCCTTTTGGAGTGGTTTCGAATGCGGATTGGAGGGGGTAAATCGGAAGCCACCCTCGATCCAAACTACTAAGAGGGATGGCAGAAGGTATCCCTAACCCCTTAATTGAGGAAGGGGGATGAAAAGGGAGGTGTCTGTAAACTGAAAGTGGTTCTCACTTAACCCCACCTGTTGGGTTGCGCTTTTTGGCAGCCATGTTTTTGTCAAAACCTCAACCTTATTGCCAGCCTTTGGGCAAGATGTGTTTGCCTGGTGGGGGGGACCTTTTCCGGGCCAACGTTCGGCAACAACTCAGGTTTTACCCTTCCCTAAAATGATAAACAGAGAACATGTTTAAGCCATAGGTTCAGGGTTCAACGTTGAAATCTTGATATACATCCAGGATGGCCTTTCTTCGGTACAAGTCCGCTTTGCCTTGGCAGAAATTATCATGACACGGGTAAGTAAAGGTGATGAGTCCTAAGTTATCCACAATCAAAACCCGGGTAGATGAAGGTTAGTAAGGGGCAGTGCCAGAAATAGTTGCGGATATCCGCCTTTCGAATTCTTTACATTCTGATTGTGACTCAAGTGATCCAGACGTATTCTTTCAGGGGCCCTGCATGGCATGTCGCTCGTTGGATCCAACCCGCAAAGCTCGGCAATGGGTGACGGGGGGGGGGTGCTTACCGGGAAGGAACCTCTCGCAAGCCAGAGGGCAACCCATGCCGAAGTTTGGGGACTTCCGTTTCATTGGTTCATGGTGCCATCGGCCGTTTCATCGGTTTTTTCAGGGCGAGCCCCGTTGAAATCAACCAGAGGCTCCAATTCGATGGATTTAGGGCCTTCAAAGAACCGGGTTTTCAGAACCCCAACCACCAAAACGGGGTGTCTAATGGAGGGGTCGGGTCTGAAAGCCAAAGCCAGGAGCCTCTGGGCAGCAAAAACGGGGGGTGCGAATTCTGTTGTCCCCAAAATTCCGAGGCCCGAGTTGAGGGAGGCGTCCTGGCCCACATCCGACGGCCAGAAGGGAGCAATTGATACAAGCCATGGCTTCCCTTGGCAAATGGAAAGTTTGGTCCAACAATTGGCTGCTTTCAGTGTTTGGTTCCTGAATTTCGGGGATAACATGATTGTGTTTTTCTTGAAATGGGCCTCAGGGGTTGGGTCAAGAAAACCTTGGCGTCACGAGCCGCGGGCCTTGACAGGCATCACGGTCTGCGAGTCCTGCCTCGCTATTGTGGCCATCGGCTTTGCAGTGCCTCACATGGTCCTCGCGGGCAGGCTGCGAACGTTTGGTTTGGAGCCCCGTTGTGTGATTCCAAGGAGGGTCCCTGTCCCTGCAAAGTGATCTGCCTGAAGCAACGGCCCACAAAAAAAATGCAAAGCAGCGACTCACAGACTTCAGGGTGACTTTTCCACCATGCGGCAGGCGCTTGAGCGAGTCCATCGCTCCCCGGCCGGCACGGGTCGGACGGGTCCGAGGGGGCCGTTTTGGCAAGCCCCAGGTACTCGAAAACCAAGAGGGTTCCATCGGAAAACAACCACCCCTTGCGCCCTTGGTTCATCAGCCCCACATGAGATCCGTAGCTGGAGGCTTGCTAGAGGCCTCCGTCTATAGTTGAACCCGTCTGTGCTGTGAATACTTGGCGGTCCCCACACCTCCCGGGGTCAAGCTAGCGGCGAAAACGCCAGGACTAGCGGGCCTCGTGGGTCCAAGTGCCTCACAAATTTTCGCTGGTTTCGGACATGCACGTGGACCGAGCTTTTACCGTTGTATTGGGGAGGGGTCCCCTACTAAAATGGACTACCGAAGAAAAAAAATCGGGTACTCTTACTCTAACCTATCAAATCTGGAGGACCTAGCTGGTGCAACCCTGAAACCTATGGGAACCCCACGAAAAACCCAAGGCAACCCACGAAAAAAACATAGTGAAACCCAGGAAACCAATGCGAAACCCATAGCGAAACCCAGATCACTCAGCAAAAAACCAGGAAGCCCCAAGGGAAATGTCGTCGCTCTAAGGACCAAGCCTTGTCCACCATTCTCCCGGACGACTCCTTCGAGGCTGC